CACACACACACACACACTCTTTCAATGAAATCTCTTTCTACATCAGAAACACATTCAAAGCAGTTCACATGCTGTGCACAAGCAGAGTAGTAACACAAACAGACTGCTGTAATCCGGTCTGCTCAGTCTTTGTGTTGGCTTAAAGGGATAGTTCACCCAAAAATGAAAATTTGATGTTTATCTGCTTACCCCCAGGGCATCCAAGATGTAGGTGACTTTGTTTCTTCAGTAGAACACAAACGAAGATTTTTAACTCAAACCGTTGCAGTCTGTCAGTCATATAATGGAGGTGAATGGGAATCACAGCTTTGAGAGTAAAAAAAAACATACACAAACAAAACCAAATTAAACCCTGCGGCTCGTGACAATACATTGATGTGTAAAGACACGAAACGATCAGTCTGTGCAAGAAACTGAACAGTATTTATATAGTTTTTTACCTCTGATTCACCGCAATGTCGAACTGTCCTGAGCATGTTTGCGTCTTCTTCTTCAGCCGGCGTGTGACGAGTCTTCTTCTTCTTCTTGCATTACGGCGGATCGTAAACTTATAAGTGCATTACCGCCACCTATCTCTGTATCTATCCTAATGATATGGACCATTGACACTCTATCTACAATCTCAATTAGGAGTGTCAATGGTCCATTTGAGAGATAGGTGGCGGTAATGCACTTATAAGTTTGCAATCCGCTTTAAAGCAAGAAGAAGAAGAAGACTCGTCACGCGCCGGCTACAGTCCTAAACACTTTTAAACAAATGTGTTTGTGGATTTTGATGTGAGAGGACAACGAGGGATGGACTTTTTCACTGGAGGAAGTATTGTTATGGTTTATGGATTTGTATTTTAGCTGGTTGGATTACTTGTGGATCATTGTGATATTGCGTTAATGCTAATGCATTAGCTAATGTTAAATGAGACCTTATTGAGTCATTGTGCTCATGCTGTGCTATTTTTAGATCTTTCCTATAGCACACTGATGTATTGATTTCAAAATCCTGAAAAAGTCCAGCTAGTTCAGTGCAAAGTATTATTTACTTCCTTCATTTTTTCCTCACATCCTCTTAGCTGAAGTCACTTAAGTTACACAGAAATTAGTTTCCCCATTTCTGATGTTTCAGATGGCACACATCTTTTTATTGAATTGTTTGGTTTTGTCAGCCATACAAGGCAAGAGAGTGGGAGGGGGAAGCGTCAGAGCTCTGGTACTTTTCCATTGCGTAGGCAGCAGCGCATTACTGAAGCTCCTTGAACGAACTCTGGCGAGAGGACGCCATCTGGTGCACGCGAGGGGCAACGAATCTGCACCTATCGCGATGTAATCGCTTTGTAAAACAAGACCAAAAGACTTTAATAGCTGTGCTGGTATTAGAAACAGAAATAATTCATCAACGTAGTAAACATGCATAATAAAACAAATAATTATCCTATGTAGTAGGCCTAATAATAAAAAAAAAGTATTTTTCTCATTTTTGTTTAGCTTATTTATATTCGTTTTCTTCGTGTGTAAATGTTAACAATACTTTCCCTTACGGAAATTAACCATGGTTTTACTACAAAAAATAAAAATAAAATAATAATACCAAAAAAAATCATGGTTACTTAGGTTCTATAGTTAAACTATGGTAACCACAAATATGGTTTTGCTACACTAACCTTATGGGTTAACCACAGCATTTGTAGTAAAACTGTGGTTATAAAAATGGTAGTCAGTACGCCAAAAAATCATGGTTACAACATTTTTACTATAATAAAACCATGGTTAATTTTCGTAAGGGTTGGCAATAAAGCCTCAGTCTTTTAGCATGCAAATAAAGCTAACTGAATAGAAATTTTATTCAGTATTGGAGTTCGGTTCAATGAGGCCATAGAAATACAAAAAAGTGAATTCTATCTAATTCTATTAATAGACATGAATTTAACGCGGATGAAAACGAGGCTGTGAGGGAAAGAATTGCAGTGCGTTTAATGGATTGGACTGCTGTTTAACAATTTAACAGTCCAGCTGAAAAAAACGTCTTTCCAACAAAACAAAACTCATAACCCTTTAGTATACAAAAACTATGTTTTGAAAGTTGTGAGTTGGAGAAAATTACAGGATCTAGGATTTTTATACAGTGCGTGCCATTGTTATACTATAATTCTGTCCCTCACAGCCTCATTTTCATCTGTTAAAATTCAATATGGCGTCTAACCTGATTTGCAGTGGTTCTCAGCAATAATTCAACTTAGCTGAATTGCTAAAAACATACAATAAAGAGGTAAACTGAAATAATCTTTTTAACAAATGTCTAGAATCTAGTTTCTGTTAGGGGGGAGCTTGGTCATAGTTACAGCTGAAATACCTTACCTTATATTGGGAGCCTTTGAATATCATGTTGGATAATGGGAGGCTTTTGAGTCAAAAAGGTTGAGAACCACCGGTTTATAAAACAAGACAACCCCTCTTTACTGTGGTAAAGACATTGTATTGCACAACCTGCTGTATATAATTTTTATAATCTACAGCTGTATATAATCTATTTCATAAATATTTTGGAGATATAGTACTCAGTGTACTATTGTCCTCTTACATTTTGTGAAGTTACCATACAGTCATGAGTGCCCCCTAGAAGAATTTAGAGCCAGAACATACCAAAGAGTACCATAGTATGTTTAGAATTACCATCCCATACCACCAGATTATTGTCTGTAAGGAACACAAAACAAAGGTACAAGGTGCCATAATGTGTTGTACATTTAACATAGTAGTACCACATAAACACCATGGTACAATTACAGTACTTTTTTGTAACCACTATCCTCCTCAGTTGTTAAATATAGCAGTAGACTTCATGACAAGGCTGATTTGCCTAGGATGGAAAAATTAAAAAATGTGTTTGTCATGTTGTTTGTTTGTTTTTTATGCTGTCATTTGACCTTTTTACGCGGATGCAGTCAGTGCCAGTAATAATAAAGCCCAAAGTATACTTTGTACAGTCGAACGCTCAGCCTTTCAAAGCCATTTAGAGTGCGCGCACGCATGCGCGATATTGATCCCAGTGTCGCTTTACCTCTCCAAACGTTTTGAAAGATAAAAATGTCTTTGTATTTTTTGTCGCTGGTGTATTTTAATCCCCTCAGACAATCGCTTGTCAATGCAGAAGTCTATATTGTTTTTGTCATCGTAGTTTGTTACTGTTCTCATTCCATTTCTTTTCCGACTACGAAACAACGGGCCGAACCAGTGTCGCCACCTTGTGGACAACCTATTTAGTGCAAAAAAAAAAATTTCAAAGCGCATGTGCAAGCTGTGCGTACATTGTACGTACATTGGAAAAATCAAGCTGCGCGTGATGTTCGTGTTACGCCACTGTACGCATGCTCTAGCGTACATGTAAAAACCAAAGTATTTGGGCTTACTTCCTGTTGGTGATGATGATAACAATGGTGAGAATGACGGTCACTATTGCCACCATGCTCATAATAAAAGCTTTGCACAGTGGCATTCGCAGTACGGTCATCAGTAGGGACCTCTCTCTACCCCCGTCTCTGCCCCGCTGACCCTCCAAGCCCGCTGGGTTCCCGACGTCCAGAGTCTGGCTGATGGTTTGCGTTAGAGCCGGGGCAGAGCTGGGCACTCTCTTCACCTGCAGTTTGCCTTTGTTGCGGTTGAAGCGGATGCTGTAGACGTGCTGCATGGCGGCCGGAAGGTAAGACAGCACCGTGGAGTCATTTGCTAGCTTGGGAAGACCCAAGTCGGGTAACGGGGTGTATGCGCGGCACAGAGGGCACTGGATGGTGTCGGGTTGGGTGGACTTCACGTTCATCCGCGCAAGACACTCCAGGCAGAAGGTGTGCTTGCATTGGAGTACCTTAGGGGTGTTGAAGACGTTGTTGAACTGGCAGAAACAGATGGCGCATTCCAGATCGGGGGGCTCAACGTTGTCATCCACAGATTTGTAGGGGTCACGGAGGGAGTTCGGGTCAGACTCCATGACAAAGGGAGGAGGTGAGGGAAAGGGAAGTCAACGGGCATTTTCAAGATCCATGGCGATGTGGCAAGTCTGAAGAAGTACAAGAACAGTTCAGTTTCATGAGTTAGACTGTTTTTTTCTACCACCACCAATAGAAAAAAAATGCATTAAAAACTGTACACAATGAATATTGTTGGCTTTGTGACAGATTTCTTATGCTCCTCTATTGTAAGTCATCCTTGGATTGGATTGGATAAAATAAAATAATTTATAAATTATTTATTTATAATAAATATAATATATAAACATAATAAATTATTTAAAAAAATCAAAATACCTGGCTTAGTACACAATACATATGGCTGATATTTTTGCTTATGTTCCTTTATTGCAAGCTGCTTTGGATTAAAAGTTTCTGCTAAATTTATTAAAAAAAATACAAAATTAAAACACCTGACTTTGTTCATAATAGAATATTGTTGGCTCTTATAATTGCTCATGTTCCTCTAAATTAAAATAAGATAAAATAAGATATAAGATAAGTAATATAAAAGATAAATAAAACCCTGTGATGGTCTGGCCATCTACTGAGGGTGTTTCTCTGCCGTTAACAAATGGTAAATAAAATAAAATAAAATAAAATAAAACCTGGCTTTGTACAAAATGAATATTGTTGTCTTTGGATAAAAGCATGTGCTAAATAAAATAAAATAAATCTGTAAACCTGTGATGGTCTGGCCATTCGTTGAGGGAGTTTCTCTACCTTCAACACATTTATTTTGGAGAATGGATGGATGGATGAAAAGTAAAATCAAAAGAAAAAGAAAAAAATGGATTTGGATTCGCTATGTGTCGAATTTCACATATCCTACTTTGGATAAAAGTATCTGCTAAATGCATGAATGGAAATGTCAAAACAATACAATAAAATAACATTGTGAGACTTATGAGCCCTGTATATGGTCATCATGTGTCTTGGATGTTGGTGTTCACCAATATTTTTAACTAGCTTGGCTTGCAAGACTTGCTTTTTCAACCAGTTTGTTCAAAGAGCAAATTTCTGAACAAGATACTTGACTTCAGGTTGCTCGGGATGGACTGTCCTTATCCCCTCACTATAACTTAGCTATCAGTGAATGAAGTACGACTAGTAAACAGACTTGTTTGTCGTTCTGCCCACGCACTAGATCTGTTCGCAATAACAGATTTGCCTTGGAAATGCTTACAGGCTTCCATCAAAGAACGGCCCAAAACTATGCAAAACAGCAGAAGGGTGTCCCATTACTGACGCCCATGATGCAGATAGAAAGGATTGGGTTGCTTCATTAGAGGTCCATCAGATGACCTTTGGTTTGGCCTCAACTGATCATAGTTTACATTTATGATGGCAGTATAGTCAAATAAGATGCGTGTAAATGACGCTAATGGCTTTAGCATTTAACTGCAATGTTTCTTAGTCTACAAACACCTGTAATTGTATTATTTATTTTTTTTATGGATTTGAGTTGCTTCACAGTGTAAAATGCAAATGGGACGCTGAGAATTTATTACCTTACATTTACCTACATGCGATTTTTCAAGTATTGAGAGATGCATAACACATTTAGATTTCCAAACCCGTCTTGGTCTCAAAAGCCTTCTTCTTTTAATGGCATAATCCCATTGAACCACATTGGTTTTCAACTGGAGATTCATAAACTATTGGATTTGTGCTGTACATTTTGCTCGACTATAATCAAGTCAAGCAAAATATCCCATTAAAGTCATTCTTGTTCCAAGTCACTCTTCCACTTCTACTTGGTATAAAGACATAAAAATACAATCCTATAATGTATAGATCCACAGTTACTCACTCATCTCAAGACGTCTCTTCTCTTACCCCGTCAGATGAGGCAGGTGTCCTGGACGTTGAGGCTGTAGTTTGCGTCTTTGTTGCCTTTTGGAGAGAATGAGATGTGTTAGTGTCTTTTCTCAGTGCTGTCTCTCTCTCTCTCTCTCTTTGTACATCTACCACGCTTTTCCTGACACGTTTTACATAGAAAAACAAAAACACCAAGAGTCACTCCACCACTTTCTTTCTTTTTTAGTTTCTCTCTACCTCTGTGGTGTAAAGAATGGCAGCATTTGAATACTGGAGCAGCAGGCAGGAGGAAATGCACAGTGAGTAGTCAAATAGAGCTGCCAGGCAGATCGGCAGTGTAAACTCTACAATCCTGACCTGAAAGAGAGAGAACCGAAGAGGGAATAGAGAATACATACCTGAGCAGAAGAGAAGACTGTGAGCCAAAAGCCTTCTATCTTTACTTCACCAGGTTACTGTGACAGTACCATGCTGATATAATATACATATACCTGTATATATATATATATAAACATTATGTTTACCATCTAGAAATTCTGCTTAAAATAAAATTATAAATACATTGTGGTTCTGTTAATATAAACATGTTCTTATAATTTTAAGGCGTTATTAAAAAAACAACAACACTTTACTAATGCCAACAGGGAAAACTTTTGGTTTTGTTCAAACGTTCTTCATACTCTTATTCATAAACAACAAAGATCAAGCTGCACGTATTATTCCACAGATGTTTCCATTTCCTGCTGTGACTGCATGCAAAAAGAGCCAAAAAAGGTGTTAAATTCATTGAACTGCAATAATTTATTTACGCAACGTGCAAATACATAAACATTTCCTTCAAATTGATAACTCAACACCTCAGCATTTACATAATAGTCAAATAAGCACATCAGTGTAACCTTCACGTCTTTCTGTACCATTAAAACAACATTACATAATACATGTATGTCCTTGCTGGGTTTGTTCATCAATATTCTGTTGATGTTATATAGTTGCGGCAAAAAGTATTTCAACACTTTAAAATGTGTGTCTTGTCATTGCATTACAGAGCCAAATGTAGTATCGAAGCAAGCCGTTGACAAATGGTAAATATCATGATGATACACTCTAAAAAATGCTGGGTTAAATAGAACCCAGTGCTGGGTGAAATAGGGACAAACCCAGCAATTGGGTTGTTTTGACCCAGCGGTTTGGTTAAATGTTTTACCCAACCTTCAGGGTAGTAACCCAACCGCTGGGTCAAAACAGCCCAATTGCTGGGTTTGTCCCTATTTCACCCAGCACTGGGTTGTATTTAACCCAGCATTTTTTTAGAGTGTAGTCAATCTGATTAACTAGACCTGTGTAAATGTGAGGAGAACTGGCTTCATACATTCAAATGACCAAAACACCAGCTTTAGCTCAAAGACACTAAGCAAAAATAATAAAATGATTCAATATTTTTTTTATATAATACATTAAATGTAAACAAAATAAAATCCATACAATAAAAACATGAATAAATAAAATAAAAACATAAACAATTAAAATACATAATGTAAAAATAAAATGCAGTTTGTATTGAGAAAAGCACTAGCAGCATTTGCTTGATATTTTGTGGTCCAATGCAATGACATTCAGGCAGTTTTAAGTGTGACTTAAGTGTACAAATACTTTTTTGGGGTCGATGTATATTTATGCAGAAAGACATAAAACAAACAAATACTCTTTGGTTGGTATATTTGTGAAAAAACAGTTTCAAAACATGAAATGTTCTCATTACGTGTCAAATCAACATTGCCATGTTGGCAAGACAGTATTTTCAGAAAAAAAGCTGAGAAAAGCACTAGCAGCATTTGCTTGATATTTTGCTTGACAGTTTCAAAACATGAAATGTTCTCATTACGTGTCAAATCAACATTGCCATGTTGGCAAGACAGTATTTTCAGAAAAAAAGCTGCAATCTTCTTTTTTATTCTAGAACTATAGTCCTAATAATAAAGAAATATATATATATATATATATATATTAAAAACAACGACAGAAAGCACATTGCATGACTGATTTTCACGGACTTCTCCATCGTCTGATCATCTGTTTCAGGGAAAATATTGAGATCTGCCGTTTATGTATTGAATTCTCTAAGCATCCTCTCCCTCTCCTCAGGGTCTCTCCGTGTGTGAAACACAAGACCAGGCTGTTTACATAAATGTTTGAATGTGTTTATGTGTGTGTCTGTAAACTCTATCAGCTTCTATGTGAAAAATGATTCAGCTTTCCATGTTGCCAAACCCTGAGTCTGTGTGTGTGTGTGTGTGTGTGTGTGTGCAGGGAGAGAAAGAGACTGAGATTTGACATCTATGTGCTTTCTGCATGAATTATTTTGACCCATTAGCAATTACTTAATGAAAAGTGCAAATAAAAGGTCTCCAACAGGAGTGTAAAAAGTACAGGGTAATTATACTCAAGGTAGAGTACAGGTATGTTTTTTCCTCTAAATTTTACTCCATTATAAGTCAAAGTATCCAGCTGAAAATATATTTGTGGGAATGTATAAAAAAAAGGGAGTCCACATTTAATTGTAGTTAAGCATTAGATACCAAAAATAAACATTATTTTTTAGCTTAAGAAATAGATTGTCCCATTAAATTAACATTAATATTCGATGCACAAACTTTGTTAACTTTTTACTCACAGTTTTTCCATTTTAATTACTCAAGATAAATGCTCAACACACATTAAAGTTAGCCCAAACTTTTTATCTAAAGTCAAGTTTGCACATCTTATCTTGGTCTTCGGTATAACGGTGGTTATAATCCAAGAGGTTTAATCAAGTTCTTCACAATGTTAAATGTTATTGTGGCCACTTATTTTTCAGAGTTAAATGGATTTGGCAGTTTTAAATATTCAAATAAAAGTTAAGCAAATTTATTTGACTGGCTTGTTAGTTCAGCAAGCCTATATATATATATATATATATAACACACACACACACACTATTAAGATCATTTTTTAACTGTTTTAAACCATGATGCCTTTATATATATATATTTTGAAATTGTAGGGACTAATCGTAGTATAATGAAGCATAAACGTTGTAAAATAATACATTAACATACAGTATATTTAAGTACAATTACTCCAGTACTTTACACTCCTGGCTTCCAAAAACTTATTCAAGCATATTCAGCAACCAAGCAGAAGTTGAGCGGCATTTTATTGCCTATATCAGTTTACACAGTAACACACACACACACACACACACAGAGACACAGACACACAGAGAGAGGGAGAGAGAGAGAAAAAAAACAGCACCCATCTTATCTCCGATTATTTTTAACCCTGAATTAAGCCATATTTGGAAAATGCCATATTGTAAATCATTTCTGCAGGCAGGGAGTTTCATAGCCACTCAGTCTCATCTTTAGGTAAGTTAATTATGTTTTTACACCCTTTAATGGTTTGTGTATTCAGACGATCATACACTACATGGTCAAAAATATGTGGACAATGTTGGAACATTTAGACACATTTAGACAACTTATGCTCCTATTAGCAATAGGCCAACCTGTTAAAGAAATAGTTCACCCAAAAATGAAAATCTGCTGAAACTTTACTCCCCCTCAGGCCATCCAAGATGTAGATGAGTTTGTTTCTTCATCATAACAGATTTTGAGAAATTCAGAATTACATCACTTGCTCAGCAATGGATCCTCTGCAGTGAATGGGTGCCGTCCAAACATCTGATAAAAACAAACACGCAGCTTTTTATTTCCCAAGACATTAACTGAGGGTCTGGAATGGTTTTTATAAGCTCTCATTTGACGGCACCCATTCACTGCAGAGGATCCACTGGTTAGTGTTCCCATGAAGAAACAAACTCATTTACATCTTGGATGGCTTTAGGTGAGTACATTTTCAGCAAATTGTCATTTTTGATAAGTATAAGGTGTCCACATATAGTACTTTGGAAATGCAGTGTGCATTCTCATTTCCAGGAGTTCCAGTTATTACATTTGTTAATTTTAACTCATCAGTTTGATTTTCCAGGCGGTCCAGATGGACGTCAGAAGCGAGCCACTTCAGTGAGGCTGGGCACTGCTCCCTGATCTAGATGCAGCTGGTGCAGTCCTGTGTTAAAACTGGCACACAGGAGACTGCTGGAGTCACACGGAGCCAGAGACACCAAAGGCCCTGAACCGTCCAGCATTAACGTGTACAAACATGCTGAAGAGAGAATATGGAGGAGACCAGAGTCAAACCATGAATATTTTAAGCAGATGTGACTCTTTTTTCCAGGATTATACTAGCTTGACATGTTTAGCAAAAGATGTTTGTTTCAGAAAGCATGACACGCGTGAAAGAAAATGTGAAAGAGTGTCAAGTGTTGCTTATGACATTGTTATTTAAAGGAGAATTGTGTCATTTGCATTTAAATTCCACATTTCATCAAAACCTGGCAAAAATGTATTTAATTTCACAGTAAATCACAGCTCTTAAATAATGGTTATCTAAGTGTATGTATCTAAAATGGATTTTAAAAACACTTTAAATTCTACTCACAGAAAAAAAATTATGTAGTCTTTATGCACATTAAATGATTTTATTTAATGAAAAATACTGTAGTAACAGAAATATTGTGTAATATTATTGTTATTTTAAATAAGCTGTTTTCGGTTTTAATATATTTTAAAATGTAATTTATTCCTGTGATACAAAGCTGAATTTTCAGCATCATTACTCCAGTCTTCAGTGTCACATGATCCTTCAGAAATCATTCTAATGTGCTGATTCGCTGCTTAACAAACATTTCTTATTATCATCAATGTTGAAAACATTTGTGCCAAAAAGGAATTATTTTTATTTGAAATATAAATATAATATATTTCTTTTATTTGAAATATAAATCTTTTGTATGTCTTTACTGTCATTTATGATCAATGTAATGCATCATTGCTGAAGAAAAGTATTAATTTCCTTCATAAATAAATACATAACTTGCTTACTGGATCAATTTAAATTCATATTAAATTAAAAATATGTCAGCCAGAGGAGTAAGCTTCCCCAGCTGAGTTTGGCTCCTCACAAAGTTTCTTTTTCTCTTACCTAAACATCTCAAGTTTTCTGACTTGACTTCCTTAAACAGGAAGCTGGCCTATTAACCCATGAGCCAGCTGGCCAATTCACTTGTTTGTTTGGAAACATAATACAAGTGTATGTGTGTGTGTTACCTGCAGTGTTCTGATCCCATATTTTTACTGAGCTGTCATACGACGATGACGCCACGAGGGCAGGACATCCGGGACGGGGAGGCACAAACACGCAGCATGCCGTGGTCTGCAGGTGTCCTCTGTATTCAGCCACCTTACAGCCGGGCTGCCTGAGGTCCCACAGCTACACACAAGCATAAACACACAGACGTTTGAATTCATGCACATGGAGAACTGTGTCCTGGCAGTATCCGTACACACACTCACCGTGGCTTCACAACCCTGACCACCAAAGCCATTGCTGGACGACAGCAGGTGGTAACAGTTGGAGCTGATGTCACAGTGTGTCTGGATATACTGCTTTGCCGGAAATGTGTTAGTGACCTGCCAGGTACGGCTATCCCACACCCTGAGACACACACCAACACACAAATCAAAAACATTAATATAGCACTTTTAATAAAATGCAGTTTCAAGGCAGCTTTACAGAAATCATGATGTTAACAATGCTTGCATTATCTTAACATTTTCATGCCTTACGGTCACATTTAGCAAATGGGCATCACTTGTTCACCTCTGCAGTGAATGGGTGCCGTCAGAATGAAAGTCCAAACAGCTGATAATGACATCATCACAATAATCCACACCACTCCAGTCCATCAATTAACATCTGGTGACATGAAAAACTGCATGTTTGAAAGAAACAAGATGTTTTTAACTTAATATCGCTGCTTTCGTCTAAAATACGAGTCCTCTATCCGTAATATTGCTTTCTCCAATGGAAAAAGTCGTCTCGACTGAATCAGGAGAGAAATATGCACTGATCAAGCACTATTTACAAGTGAAAACAGTCTAAAATAGTTCTAAACAAATATGTGGGTGGATTTTTAGATGTGAGAGGACAACAGGGGATGGACTTTTTTCTACTGGAGGAAGCATTATTATGGATTATGGAGTATTTTGGCCGGAAGCAGCGATATAAAGTTAAAACGCCCTGATGGATGGATTTTTTCATATAAACATCAGCTTTTCATTTCACAAGATGTTAATTGATGGACTGGAGTGGTGTGGTGGATTACTTGTTGATTATTGGTATTGTCTTTCTGACGGCACCCATTCACTGCAGAGGATTCATTGGTGAGCAAGTGATGTTAAATTTTTCCAAATCTGTTCTAAGAAACAAACATGATGGATTGAAGGCGAGTACATATTCAGCAAATTATAATTTTGGGGTGAACTATTCCTTTAAATTTTATTTAATGGACCTAAGCTGACATGAACTTACAATAAACAGTTGTATTTTAATAACCAACCTTAACAAAGATTAAAAAAAGTACTGTAACAAATGATAGGGATATTTATTGGTTAATGCATTAACTAACATTAACTAATGGGACCTTATTGTGAAACGACAAAGATATATCTAACTTTATCTAACTATATATGTGACCCTGGAGCACAAAACCAGTCTTAAGTCGCTGGGGTATATTTGTAGCAATAGCCAAAAATACATAGTATGGGTCAAAATTATAGATTTTTCTTTTATGCCAAAAATCATTAGGATATTATGTAAAGATTATGTTCCATGAATTTATGTTTAAAACTTAATTTTTGATTAGTAATATGCATTGCTAAGAACTTCATTTGGACAACTTTAAAGGCGATTTTCTCAATATTTAGATTTTTTTGCACCCTCAGATTGCAAATTTTCAAATAGTTGTGTCTCGGCCAAATATTGTCATATCAAACCATACATAACTGGAAAGCTTATTTATTCAGCTTTCAGATGATGTGATGATGTATAAAACTCAATTTCGAAAAATTGACCCTTATGACTGAGGTTACGTGAGATGGTGTTTTTCTGCAGACATTCTCCGGACTCAATGTCCCAGAGGCGCATGGAGTTATCACGAGAGCCCGTGCACAGCTTTGAGCCATCTACAAGATGAATAAAACCACATTACAGGACGGCGTTTGAGATTTTGTGGTCATAGCATGGTATTGTTTGAGGGTTTGTTCACCTGGGCCTACCGCTACCCCGTTAACTACGAGCTCATGGCCACAAAACTCCTGGACGGGTTCTGTATCTCGACCCAGATCCCACATCAGCACCGTCTTATCACGGGACGCACTGAAGATCAAGGAACTTCCTTTAAAACAGCATAACTAAAGGAAACCAGAGAGATTTATATACACACAGACACAGTACATAAAACACATTTATTCATTGAGGCATCTCTATGTTTACGAAATAATTAAGCAAATATTTGTTTTATTCATTTTTTCTCCACCAATGAAAATTGTTCCAAAATAAATCCAAGCTTTGCCTTTACCTTTGTAATCTCTCTGCTGTGGCCCTGGAATGATTTGCACTGTTTTCCAGCTCTCCAGTCATAGACAACAACAGCCTGACCAAAAAACAGTGACACAAATCATATTCAAATGCACATAATGTCAATCAATGAAAATATATTATAACTATCATTGCCTATTGATTTAAAGCCTTAAATGTGGAATGTGTAATTTCTGTGCCAATAGTGGCAACAATCTGAAATACAAAATTAGCTAGATTTTTACATGCTTCTTAATGTTACACAAGCATTGCTATGCAATTGATGTTCTGAGTGGTTTTAGCATGTGCTGTTGCTATGGGTTTTTGGGTGGTTGCTACAGTCAAACAGTCATCAATACACAAATATCTTTAAAAAAAAAAAAAAGAAAGAAAAAATTTACTGACCCCCAAACTTTTAAATAGTAGTGTATATTGTAACACAAAATTTATATTTTGAATAAACACTGTTCTTTTGAACTTTTGATTTATCAAAAAATCCTGAAAAAGTATAACAGGTCCCAAAAAAATATTAAGCAGCACAACAGTTTCAACACTGATAATAAATCAGCATATTAGAATGATTTCTGAAGGATCATGTGACACTGAAGACTGGCGTAATGATGCTAAACATTCAGCTTTGCTTCACAGGAATAAATGACATTTTAAAGTATTTTAAAATAGAGAAATTTTATTTTAAATTTCGATAACATTTCACAAAATTATTCTTTTTTGTATTTTTGATCAAATAAATGCAGCCTTGATGAGCATAAGAAACTACTACTAAAAATCTTACTGATCCCAAACATTTGAACAGCAGTGTATAAGTTTTGTTTTAATTTTAGTACTTCAACTTAAACTTGACATTTTTCAACTAACATTTATACATTACTTATTGAATTAGTCTGTATTTTCATATTTTAAGTTTTTCATTTCATAATTTTAGTTTACATTTTAGTAATTTGATATGCTTTGTAATTTTCGTTACTTTGTTTATATACTGTATATATATGTGCACTTTATTTGCTGTACCAATATTTTAAATTGGCCTTTGAACTTAGCTTTATTGCATGGCAAAAAAAAAGTGTTACCTTGCCAAAGCACTGACAGAGCCCACTGATCTAATGGCGTTGTTGAGCGCTCCAAATGCAAACTTTGCATGCAACAGTCAGGCAGCAATTGACAGCACTCTGATCTAGTGGCATACAGGCATCGTCAGATTGACAGTACTCTAGCCCAATAATGTTGGGGGATCCAGTGGGGGCGGCAGTCATATTTCAGGGTGATGCCACTCTTTATCACAACCCTGCTAAAAGTGCCAGTACGTGCGCTCATTGGCGCCTCTTCAGCTGGTGGCGCCCTAGGCGACCGCCTAGCTCGCCTATGCCTAGAAACGGCCCTGCCTTTAACATCCAACACCCCCAACACTAATTAATCTCCAAACCTCCCTCCTATTCAATGCTTCTCCAGCTCACCTGGTCATGCCCTCCTGACACACACAGGTCAGAGGTCAGGCTGACGACACAGTTGATGGCATCTGTGTGAGCGGGTTCATACTGCACTACCTGGTGCACAGGTGCAAGCTCCGCCCCCTCTTTGGCCCTGTCAACAATACAGCCTCAATAATCATAAATCCACCACAACCAAAACATCATTACTCATCATATCTCACTTGTAAAGGTCCGAGCGCCGCCGAAACTTGCTCTGTAGTTTCCCCATGCCTGTATGGGCGTCTAATCACCTGATATCAGGAGGTCTCACTCATCTCTCCACAGCACAGGCCATCTTCAAACTCTTTTGGGATCTGTAAGAATTACAGTTTTTTTTACACGTTGATGAAGACGTCAAGTCCCTGGCAACCTCACAAGGGAGCTATTACCTGCCAAGAACAGATGCTGATGTTGTGTCTCTAGCATAAGCTGGTAATCAGTTATGTATCGGGTTCAGTTATGTATGGACACAGCTTGCTTCTGAGAGCTCCAGGAAGACAGGGAGGGCGACCTGAATCCTATTAAGTGCCTCATCGCATTAGGTAACAAGTAAGATGCAATATGGCAATATTTGGCCAAACCAATATCTCCATCATCTGCAATAAACCTTCAGATATGAAAAAGCTATTCAGAGAGAGAGAGAGAGAGAGAGAGAGAGAGAGAGAGAGAGA